TTCTCAAAATTTCAAACCTGGATCTCTGGGGTCAATTTTACCTCCCTCCCCCCACATTCAGACTATATGCCTGGCTGTTAATGAATGAGAGAAGCCATACGATTTCATGACCCTGCTGTTCCCACCGCTCCTGCCCACTGCCCGCCTCTGATGAAACCCACAGCCAAGCTGAGAGACACTCTTGGGATGGCCCATGTGGCCAGAGCCAAGTAAGGCCTCCAGGCACCAGCGGATGAGGCCTGGGGCCTCAGGTCCAACAGAACGGTGCCAAGAGCCTGGTAAGCAAGTTGCTAGATGCAGATCCTTCCGAGTCAAGCCTGCAGATGACCACGGCCTCATGACAAACCCAGAACCTGGCCCCAGCTAAGCAGTGTCTGAACTCCAGACATGACTGTCACAGGATCTGTGTGCGGCTTTAATACTCTGGATTTGGGGGCAATGTGTAAAACAGTAACAACTAACAAACTCATTTCACACTGTATTTCACAGTAACTCCAGGTGGGTTTAACAGTTAAATATGAAACTACCAAATCAGCTTACAACTACAGGAAAATAGTAGTTCTTTTATTAAAAGAACTTTTTTTTTTTCGGTTTTTTGACACAGGGTCTGACATATGTAGTTCATCTGGTCTTGAACTCACTTTATAGCCAAGGTGATCTCAAACTCTCATTGATCCTTCTGCATCAGCCTCTAAGAGTGCTGGGATCACAAGCATGTGCTACCACATCCAGCTGGAACTTTATAATCAGAGACAAAAACACAAAAACAAAAAATAAGAGTAAGAGATCTGAGCTGGGTATAGAGGTACACACCTGCAATCCCAGGCTTCTGGGAAGCTGAGGCAGGACAATAACAAATTCAAGCCCTCTCTAGGCAGTCAGCTGGCAGCTTAGTGAGATCCTATTTCAAAAGTGAAAAAGTGAAAATGGGCTGGGAATGTAGCTCAAGGCCAAGGCCTTGGGTTTAAACTCCAGTCAGAGGGGTGGGGATGACAAGCTTTGTGATTTATAATTGTTTTCTGTATGTCAGGAAAAGAGTAATAAATTAAAATATGAAGAGTAGGAAAATCTTTGTAGTATAGCAAAGAATTTAACTATATGAAACTAAACTATATTGCATGTACATAAATATTTACTTAGTAAAGAACTAATACAGGGCTGGGGATGGAGCTCAGTGGTACAGCACTTGGTTAGCATTTGCAAGGCCATGGGCTTAGAAGTGAAAAAAATGGGTAAAAATAAAGTATGAACAACAGAAGAAACTAAAAACTTACTGAACTTCATGAATGCTAAAAACCTTTTATTGCAAAAAATGCCATGAAGTGAAAAGATATTCAAGAATTATACTCAAAATACATAAAGAATTTTACAACTGAAAAATAAGATAAATATTTCAATTTTGTTGTGCTTTATTGAAACAGGATTTCTTGTAATTGTGTAGTACAGGCTGGCTTTGAACTCATGACAATCTTCCAGCCTCAGCCTCCCAAGTGCTGAAATTACAGGCATGAGCTGATACCATGCCCAACAATAGCCCAATTTTAAAATGAGCAAAGGCTCTTAACAGACATTTCTCCAGGGATGATATATAACTGGCCACTAAATACTACATGTATTTTGCATGTGGATATCCAGTTTTTGCAGTACATTTATTGAGGGTACAATTCTTTCTCCACTTAATTGCTTTTGCATCTTTGCCAGAAATTGTCTGTTATGTGGGCATCTATTTTAGGGCTTTATATTGGTACTTTGGTGGTTTGTCTGTCTTGATATCAACACTGTTTTGTCATGGTGTAACTTTGTGATAAGTCATGGCATTGGGGAGGACTGAAGCTCTGATTTTGTTCCTTTATCAAAGTTGTTTAGACAATTCTGAGTCTTTTCTATTTTTACAGAAATGTAAGAATCAAAATGTTAATCTTAATGAGAAATGATGTTGGCCATTTGATGAGGGATTATGTTTTTTGATCTTATTTTCTATTTGTTTTTGGTTTTAGTCTCTTATTTTTAATTTCTCAAGGAAAGATTTGAGGATATTTCGTAACTTCCTTCTTTTCTAATAAATGTACTTGGTGTTAAAAAAAATACTTCATGTAAAGATGTGCAACCTCATCAGTTATCAGAGAAGCGCATATCCACACCCCTGCAGACAGCACTTCACACCCAACACCATGGCTAAAATTGTGTGGAGAAAAACTGCAACCCCTCCCCACTGCTGTGAGGAGGCAAGATGTTGTGGCCTCTATGGAAAATGGCCTGGCAGTTCCTTGTGAGTGTTGAACATAAAGTTACCCGACAATCTGTGATTCCACTGCTACGCACACAGTGGAGAGGCGACAACTACGGTCCACACAGAACCCTGAAAGGGAACCTTCACAGCCGCGCTGTTCCCAGTGTCTGTAAATGGAAGCAGCTCCAGTGCTCACCACCCGGGGAGTGGATAGACAGTGAGGCACATCATATAATACTTACTATTTGGCCCTAAAAGGAAAGAAGCAAATACTTACTATTTGGCCCTAAAAGGAAAGAAGCAATGATATACTACAGGCTACTGTATCATGCCAATGACATTTCCCAGTCTGTAAAGCAAAAGCTGGGGTTCAGAACCAGGGCGTTCACTAAAATTTCAACCACTTCATCAAATAGCCTAAAATCAGCATCTCTCTCTCTCTCTCTCTCTCTCTCTCTCTCTCTCTCATCTGACCTGGGACTGAACTCAGTGCTTTCCCAGTGAGCTACATCACCAGCCCTTTATTTATTTGTTTTTATTCTGAGATAGGGTCTGGCTAAATTGCCCAGGCTGAGCCCAAACTTGTGATACTCCTTTGCCTCAAGCTTCAGGAAAGCAGGCGTGCACCTTCATGCCAGGCTTGAAAAATCTCCTTTAAAAAAAAAAAATAGAGAAAAAAAAAAAGAAAGAAGGAAAAGGAAGACAGTAGCAGAGGAGAGTAGAGGTTAAAGCCACGGATGGGCTATCCAAAGCAATGGTCAGGGTGGTCCTCAGAGAGATTTTCCGACCAGAGCCTGTTACCTGAGGCTCGGAGTGGGGGGAGCATCACACCAGCTGGGGGAAAGGAGCCAACTAACGAAACTAAGAAAGAAACTATAGAAGGAGTAAGCAAGAACCCAAGAAAAGCAGTGCCAAGCAACCAGACAAGAAAACTCTAACACGCACTCCACAGGTCCACAGGAGTAAACACCCCACCGCCACAGCAAACCGTCCTGCACCTGGCAGAGCGCAAGTGCTGAGTGGAAACTGCTTTCAGGAGGCAAGGGTTCAGTTGCTTGTCATTATTTTGCTTTTAAAGTCTCAAGCCTTTGAGCTTCCAGGGAAGAAGATGGAGAAAGGAGAGCAGTACAGGACTGGGAGGAAGCTGCCTGAAACCCAGGGACAGGGAGAAGTTAGATCAAGACCTAGGTCTAAGCACCTGCCTCACACACCCCATTAAAATCAAAGTCCACAGCAGGATGCAAAACAGTAAGACCTGATTTACCTTGACCTGTGACAAGAGTTTGATATAAAATTTACCAGGCATAGTACCTCCATAAAAATTAACTGTGAACTATTTTCTTTAAAATTATTCACCAATGTATCATACAATTCTCAGTCTTCTTGAGGAAGAGTGGGTTTTCCTAGGTGATTTAAGGTCATTGAGACTATCTTATGGTACTAGGAAATAATATAGTTGATTCTGCGCTTTAATTTTTCAAATCTTTGAAGCCAGGTGTAATGGTACATATTTGGGATCCCAGCACTTGGGAGGGTGAGGCAGGAGGACTGCAGCAATTCTGAGCCTCATAGTGAGGTCAAAGTCAGTCTGAACTACCTAGTGAGACCCTGTCTCAAAAACAGAACAAAAAATCTTCTTTGAATGTCTTAACACTCAGGGTTGCCAGTTTCTAGTTAATTTCCCCAATAACTTCTTTCATTTGTGACTACAATAGAATGTGTTTTCAAAATTATATAACCATTGAGTGATAACCTAAAAATAAGGCATACAGCTCTGAATGAAAGATACAGAAATGTAAAGTGCATGTCTTTATGACAGTAAGCCCTGGGAAGAGTTACCACCCAGTGATATGGAAGTTGTTTCACTTTTCAATTTGAGACTAAAGTTCACAATTAAGGATTTCAGAAGACTGACCTCTGACTACATTGTCTCTTACTCTATTGTGCTTTTTGTTTGTTTTTGCTTCCTTAGCCAAGGTATTACTAGGTAATTCATGTTGGTCTTGAGCTTACTATCTAATCCAGGCTGGCATCAAACTCTGAACTCTGGTGATCCTCTTTCCTCAGCCTTCCACAATGCTAGGATGACAGGTGTGTGCCACCATGCCCAGCTTTTTTTTTTTTTTTTTTTTTTTGAGACAGGGTCTCACCTTGTAGTGCAGGCTGGCTTTGAACTCACTAAGTAGCCCAAGGTGGCCTTGAACTCATAGTGACTCTCCTGCTTCAGCCTCTTAAGGGCTGAGATTCCAGGCCTGTGCCACCACTCCCATGTAGCTTAACTTTACAAAAAAATTTTTTTTCATTCCTATCTGTGAAAACTAACAGCAGTGGAGTTTCTCATCAAAACGGAGTATTTTAGTGGCCTCATAAGCTCAAAGGCTGATACATCTTCAGGCGCGGATTCAGAGAATCAGAGGCACAAAGATCAGTACCTTTGCTCCAGTATTTCATCTGAGTTCACAGCTCCAGCCCTCAAGGTCAGGCAGGCCTGTCAACAAATTGCAACACAGGCAAAACCACCAGCCAGTGGAGTTAAACGGCTCGCGTTGGAAAGGAATGCAAATAGGGGGTACATTTTGCACTCCTAAACAGGGGTTCCATGGAAACCTGTTGCATGGACTCACTCTTTTATTAAAAAGGTGGGGGAGGGCCCAGGTCCTAAGAGGAGTAATCCACCGCTTCTGGAAGACATGGATCCAGCTCACCTTCTGACAGCTGCCACACACGCCAGCCTCTGTGCCTCTGACACTCACCCCGGAGAGGACCTCACCTGTACTGCCAGCTCTTGGCGCTGCCTCCTCGGTTGCCGCTGGGGCCGCCGCTGATCGCGCCCGCGCTGCTGTTCTTGCCGCTCGGGGTCCCGGCAGTGGTCAGTGACTCCAGCCTCCCTTCGCTTTCGGAGACTCTCATCGTGGACACTGAGTCACCACCCTGCATCTTAGCTCCCGGGTCCGCCTGCCCTTCCCGGGCGGCACAAGTCACCGCCGTGCAAGAGTGCTGTAGGCGCTTCCTTATTTCTTCTCTTTGAGACTCCAATGCGATCCTACTTGCTAAATGCGACGGCTCCACGAGACGGGACTGCCACGGGCCGGGGAACGGAAGACGCGCATCCCCGCCGAGTTAAACTCTCCAGGCGCCAGGGGCGGCGGTGCGAACTGCTATCCTTCCCATTCGCACGGAGTTGCCTTCCTCCTGGCCAAAGCAAGGAGGAAAGTGTCACCCAACTACTGGGCTCAGGGATGCCCAGAGGAGACGCGGCGGCGGCTCTGCAGCCGCGGGTGGGCGAAGGGCGGGCGGGGTCCCGCAGCCTGGCCTCGGTGGAGGGCGGACCAGCCGCGCCCTCGGTCCTCCTCAGTTTCCCGGCGCGGCGGTTCCCGCCGCAGCCGGAGACCCAGCCGCGGCGGCTCGGCAGCCCGGAAGGTCGCGGAGGAGGCCGTCGAGGGCTGGACGCCGCTCCCAGCGCCCGCGGCGAGCCGTGCAGCTACGCCCTCCGACCCCCTGGCCCTGTGTCTGAACCCGGCTCCTGGGAGCCGGTAAGCCCCACGCGTGAAAGCCAGGGGCGCGGACACCGCCCCACAGCCCCACAGCGAGTCACCCACCGGCTTGCTCGCTTTCCGCCTTCCCTTCCGGAGTAGCGGAGGTCACTTCCGTTAGAGCCGTCGCGTTCGGCACCATCTTGGATTTGGGCAACTCGGCCCGGAAGGGGGCGGAGCCCAGGGGGCGGGGCTCGTGGACCAGAGTGGAAGGAGCTGCGGAGCCGTAGAGAGGCTGTAAATGAACCAGTCCTTGAGGAAAGTGACTTCCTACCTTTCATCCGGGGTCCTATTTCATGCATTTTCAGGAGAAGCTGTGAAGAAGAGCAACAACTTTTTGCAAAGACCAAAAAAAAAAAAAAAAAAAAAAAAAAAAAAAAAAAAAAAAATCACCTCTTTGTTTCAGTCGCTCTGGAGAAAAAAGCATGACATCGGAGTAAAGTAAATCAGTCTTAGAAATCAACAAGAAGCAGAGTCAGGCGTGGTGGCTCATGCCTGTAATCCCAGCACTCGGGAGGCTGAGTCAGGAGGATCGATGCGAGTTCGAGACCAGCCTGGGCTACAAAGTGAACTCAAGGCCAGCCTGAACTGCACGGTGAGACCCTGTCTCAAAAAGACAAAAAAAAAAAAAAAAAAAGAAAAAAAGAAAAAGAAATCCACAAGAAGCTGTCTTGGAGGACTGGGGATGTAGCTCAGCCGCATGGTGCCTGCCTGGCAAGCACAAGGTCCCTGAGCTCGATTCCTGACTCAAAAAAAAAAAAAAAAAAAAAAACCCAAAAAGGTGTTTTGCGAATCAGAACTAGGGACTCTTCCTGACTCCAGACAAACCTTTCCCCCTCTTTCAGACCTTGATTTTCATTTGTAAAGCGAGACTCATTGTCCCTCTTTGTTGTGAACTCTAGTTCTGGGACCAAGTCTGGGACACCGATGAAAGAGGACCCAAAGTGTGAGCCAGTCTGGGTAATGTAATGATTTAGTGAGACCTTGTCCCAAAATAACAAGGGCTGTGGTTATAGCTTAATTCGAAGGCGCTTGGGGTCAGTCCCTTCAGTTAATTAAAAAATCAATTGTTTAAAATCCCTGGGACAAGTGCAAAGAAGTATTTACTCAAGGAAAAGTAAACAAAGTAGTAAATTCATATATATACATATATGTATATGTAATTAATTTTATAAAGAAAATAGGGGCAGGGGTTTAGCTTAGATGCGTAAGTCCCTGCCCTGGCAAGCTCAAGTTCATGAGTTCGATCCCCGGTACCAAAACAAAAACAAAAACAAAAATAGATGAGACTCAGGCATAATGTGCAGCTATGGTCCTCGGTGAAGAGCCTAGGTTTGAGTGATCTGGTGGGCGTGATCTGTCCGCAGCAGACGCAGAGCGCCTGTGCACAGAACACAGTTCCCAGTCCATTCTCTGGACCAGTAGGAAAATGCTATCTGGTGTGAAATCAAGTAAGTCTTTGATAGGACTTTTGAGATCTGCGGTTAGGCCAGGTGAGCTTGTGATAGGATGACCATCACAGATGGTGGTTTAGGATGAGGAAGGTAAGGTTCTGGGAAAGGGAGATACCGAAGAGCCTGGCTGTTACCCTCATAGCAACTGTGGGCCTTCTGAACCCCAGTTCTCACTCTCCAGAGTGCATTTATTTTCTGCCTTCAATAAAAATAGATCCTCCGGGGTCAGGGATTTAGCCTAGTGGCATAAACGCCTGCCTGGCAACATAAGTAAGGTTGTGAGTTTGATCCCCCCCCCCCAAAGTAAATCCTCCTTACCTTTCTCGAGTCTCTTGTCCAATTCTTTGTTCAGAACACCAAGAATCTGGCAGGAATCTCTTCAGAACCCAAAATGCTGATAGCAAGTCCCAGGTCCTTGGGAGGCTGAGGCAGGAGGAGCACTTCAGTCTAGGAATTAAAGACCTGCCTGGCAACATAACTGAGACCTCATCTCAAAAAAAGACAAAAGATTATTTTTGTAAAAGAAAAACTACACAGGAGTGTGGAAGGGGTGATATACAAAGTAAAAGATTGGATGGAGAACCTACTTGAGAAGAACAATTGAAGAAAGCCCTATTGGCAGATGATGTTTACAGTGAGAGATAAAACTGAGGAACCTTGGGGAAAAGCATGGAAGACCTACAAGCTCCAGCCTGGAGCAGGACCCAGAGCATGGTGTGAAATGATTGTGGGGAGAAGCAGAGGAATTCAGATTCTATGGTGAGTGCAGTGGAAAGTCATAGAAGGTTTTAATCAGAGGAGGCTTGTGAGCAGATTCACACTTAAAGATCCTGGCTTTCCAACAAGTGGTGCCAGAATAATTAGATTAATTGCATACAGTGAAATTGGAGCCAGGTGTGCTGGTGCAGGCACTCAGGAGGCCGAGGCAGGAGGATCGCTAGGGGTTGAAGGCCAGCCCAGATTAGATAGTAAGACCCTGTTTCAAAAAACAAATAAACAAACAAACATGAAGTTGAGCCTCTATCTCCTAGCACACACACAAATAAACTCAAAATGGCTTAAAAATTTAAATGTAAGAACCCAAACTAAAATGCACTTAAAGAAAACCCAGAATGAATGTCTATGACCTGTCATTAGGCAGAATATTCGTACATACAACTTCAAAGCACCAGCCACAGAAGAAAAAGCACAGAGCAGTCTTCATGAAAATAAAATTTAAAAAAAAACTTTTGTTCTTCATGAAAAAAGTGAAAAGACTTCTACATTGAGAAAATATTTGCAAATGAGATATGTGATCAAGGCCTTGTAGCATGAACTCTTTAATACAGCTAACTCTTATAGCTCAGTGATAAGACAACCTGAATTTTAAGTGAGTACAAAATTTTTGCAAAGAACATATACAAAAATTAATACACTAAGAGACATATACACTAAGAGATTCACAACATCATTATTCACAAGGAAACACAAAAACCACAGTGAGATCACCTTGGCCCTCACTGGGATGGCTGTAATCAAGAGATGGATAGTAGTAACCAAAGTAGGTCTGATGTAGAGAAACTGGAAGCCTTCTATACTCCTGATGGAAATGTAAAATTTCCAGACAATGGACTATTTGGCCATAAGAAATAAAAAGAGCTGATCTATGCCACAACACAGGTGCACTTTAGATATTTTGTTTTTAATTTTTTAACCATTTATTTTATTTTTGTCTTTTTGTTTTTTCGGTACCAAGGATCAAACTCACAACCTTGCACTTATCAGTCAAGTGCTTGAGCCACATAGCTAAATCCCCAGCCCTTGTTTTTGTCTTTTTGAGACAGTGTTTCACTGTGTAGTTCCGACTGGACTTGAACTCACTTTGTTGCCCAGGCTGGCCTCGAACGCTCAATGATCCTCCTGCCTCAGCTTCCTGAATGCTGCGATTACAGTTGTGTGCCTCTATGCCTGATCTTGTTTTTTTTTGAGACATGGTCTCACTGTGTAATTCAGGCTGGCCTTGAATTCACTACATAGACCAGGCTGGCCTTGAACTCATGGTGACCCTCTTGTCTTGCCTCTCAAATGCTGGGATTATAGGCATGTGCCAACACATTTGGTTCTGTGTGCTTCTGTTTATATAAAATGCCCAGAATATGCCAGGCATGGTGGTGCATGCCGCTGCCTCAGCCTCCCAAGGAGGATCACTGAGAGTTGGAGGCCAGTGTGAGCTGCGTAGTGAAACCCTGTCTCAAAAAGACCAAAAATACGTAAACAGAAGCACACAGCATGTGCTGGGTTTTGTGCCTAAATTCTTTCACTTGGAATAATACTTTTAAAGTCCATCTGTGGTGATGCGTGTCTGTAATCCCAGCACTCAGGAGGCTGAGACAGAAGAATCATAGCAAGTTCGAGGCCAAACTGGACTACATAGTGAATTCAAGGGCAGCTGAACTACGTGGCAAGACTCTGTCTCAAAACAAAAAAAGTCCAGAATAAAATCCAAAAGGTTGGCCTTTAGATTTCAGGTTGCTGGGAGGCAGGAGGAAGAAAGAATGAAAAAGGGCGCCTGATAAAGGTGGCTAGGGGTTTTTGGGGGACAGGATATATCAAAACTGTGCTCCTAACTGTGTTAGGATCGTTGTTAGGCTCAAGCACCTAACACTTAGGTGAAGGTGAACACACGCTCAAACTCATTATAATGTTATTGTTTAACAGCAAACTCTCCAGGAAGATGCCACATAAAGAATCTGTGCTAGTAGGAGACAGGAGGAAAGCAGGGAACTCGGTGGTTACTAAAAGAAACGAGGCCGGAAATAATGGCTTGGACCCGAGCGATGGCTGGGGCACAGAGAGAAGCAAGTGCACCCCAGTGTATCTGGGCCAGGCCTCTGGTGCTGTGAACGGCTTGGAGCTGCATGGAGACGCTAGTGTTCTTATGACTGTTCCACCCCGGGGTTATTCTCTGAGACTCAAGGATCCTAACTGTACTCAACCGCCTGGAAGCTCACTCAGGTGTTAGTGATGGAAGAAACCCTGACTGAGGAAATGATTGCAGGGAGGCTGTCGCTCAGGTTTTCCTCTTAGGGTCCAAGGCTGAGTGAATTGAAGACCTGGGTCTCATGGGTGACGCCAGCCCGCTGAACTGTGATCATCTGGATGCTGACCCAGGGAGGGATGCCCATGTGGACCAGGCGTGCCCACCGCCATGGAGCAGTGCAGCCCTGGGCTGAGGAACGCCACTGATTCCTCAGCTTCCAAGACTTTGGTGCTATACTGTCCTTGTTTCCAGTGGTGGTGATGCATACAAGGCTGACACCTTTACTGCCAGGGAAGTATAATGCTTCTGAGTCCCGCGGCCTCAGCTGTGAAGTCGTCTCAGAATTTAGCTCTGGAATCTCACAGGCTCCTCCTTGAGACCCCATTCCAGCCACCAGCAGGGGCCAGGGAGTGGGGTGGACAGTTCTTGCCCCAGTGCTGCCAATTGAGGGAGCGTCTACTGTCTATTCATAGCCAGCTCTGCACATCTAAGTGGACAGAGCTGAAGAAGTCAGGAATGATCAAGGCTGGGGCTTGGTTTCTCAGGAGGGCGCAGCCTGGCAGTCCTCCACACTTTCCCAGTCCCATTCCTTCTCTCCAATAAATTTTCCTACTCCTAGCTTTCATTTTCCTGTAGAATTCATTCTTTGACTTCAGAGAACACAAACTTGGCATATCTGACATCTGGCGCTTCCCTCGTGTGACTCACAGATGTGGTCTCTGGCCATGAGCAATAGTGCCACGGAATGCATGCTCCGGTTTTATTTCTTACCACGGGACACAGGCTTTGTCCTCATGTTCTGTCACCTGTGAGGGGGCTGAGCCTGCTCTCCTCTCCTACTCCTTTGCTTCTGGTACTCAAACGTGGTCTGCTGTGTGTGTTTACTGGGTGAGTGGATTTGCTATGGTGGCATCAGGCCACGGTCCTGGCACGGTCACCTTGCAGGTGAGGTTTGAGTAAGCTACTTCAGTGGCCTCGCTTTCCAGCCTGAAGAATGGAATGGGATGGAACCAGAAACCAGGGGGTCAGTGCTGGGTGCAGTGCCTGGCATCTTGTTAGCACTGACCCAACCCAGAGCTGAGGACCGGGGAAGCATGGGGTGGAGGTGGGGTGGCTGATTTTCCTGAAGCACTGGACCCCTGCTGTCCAGAAGCTTAGAGCTGAGAACCCTGAAGGAAGGGGAGGACAGGGAAGACAAGCCACACAGAAAGGGGAGGGGCAGCACAGAGCCGCAGGGAGTGGGGTGTAGGGAGCAGCACAGATGGGTCTCTTTTTTAAAATTAAGTTTATGGGTACATTTGAGATCTATGTAATGATCATACTTATCATAAGGAGGTTGGATGGATCTCATGAGGAATGTGACAGCAGGAGGAATGTGGCCTCTGAAGAAAGGGAGGAGGGCCTGGTGTAGTGGCGCATGCCTGTGATCCCAACACTTGGGAGGCTGAGGCAGGAGGATTGTAGTGGGTTCTAAGCCAGCCTGGGCTACATAGTGAGATCTTGTCTCAGAAAACCAAAGTTAAGTGGTAAGTAAATAAAAAATAAAAGAAGGCAGGAAGGGAAGGAAGATAGAGGGACAGAGGGAGGGAGGGAAGCAACGAAATATTCTTGTTCACAGCAGATGTTGCTACTTCAGCAGAACAGAGCTGCAAACCACAGGACTCCTCCTCTTGTCCCGTGTTCCCTGTCCTGCGGGGGCAGAATCCTGTGCTTTTCAGCCCAGTGGGGAATTTAGCTCCAGAGCTCCAGAGAGCAGTGTCCCCTCCCAGCCCTGCCTGTGAGCTCAGAGGAAGAAACCAACCTAGTGCGGCAGCTGGGGAGGAGGGAAGTGTGGGGAAGAAATGGGAGCAGAGGCTGTGCTCGGGTGATGGTAAGATGAAAACATTTTTCTCCCATGGTTTTCTTCTCCCAGGACCTCTTTCCTGAATCTCTGTCAAATTGAAAATTTCTGTGCCATGCCTGTCATCCCAGCACTCGGGAGGCTGAGGCAGGAGGATCACGAAGCCACAGAGTGAGACCTTGTCTCAAAATCAGAAAAGAAAAAAGTACTATGTCACTGAGATACCCCACAGACAGTAAGTTAGCTTCTCTGTAGGCACTAGGAAATAAGAACACAGGTTCCTTCAGCAGGACCCGTCCGTCTTGTCCATTTTTAGACTCCTTTGGGCACGGCAGGCAGGAGGATTCCTGCTCACAGGAGCCACTGAAGGGCACAGAGGAGGCCCGTGGGCTTCGTGTCACTGGGTGGATGGGTTACCACGGGGAAGGAGAGAACTAAGAGGCCAGGAGTTTATCTGTGGGGAACCACAGAGGCATGAATTCTGGGGAGCAGGATTGGCTGCCAAAGCAGCATGCAAATTTATAGTTTCTGTAAAATATGGTAGTTGGCAGGACATTAGCTCTCTGGAGATGTGGGCTGGTATCTTTGGAAAAACTGCCTCCTCCCCCCAAGAAGCTAGCCTAGAGTAATGCTTTTCCATATGTGGTCCACACAGCATCAAGGAATAAGAGGTGTTGCTTCATTTAAAATATTTCCAGCAGTGATTAGAAACATTTGAAAGCCATCTTTTTTTTTCTTTTAATGTGCAGGCTGGCCATGACCTCTTGGTGATTCTCCTGTCTCAGCCTTTGGGGTGCTGGATTACGGTTTGCTGGGATGCTGTGGGATGCTGGTGTCACCTTGTGCTCAGGGTGGGAAGGGCCTGCCTGTCTGGGAGATGAGGGGCGCTCAAGACCCCCAGCGGTCCGTCCTCGCACAGCCAGGCTTCATCCAATCCTCTTCTAGCTGAGAGAAGAGATTCAGGAGGGAAGTGGTGAAAGACAGGAAGGAACTGAGGGTGAGACAAAGGAGAAACACAGCCCCACCCTTCCCTTTTCTCGATTGGCAGCTGATGCCACCCTGCCCTGGTGGAAAGGGTGGGGGTGGATGGGACCATCAGTCAGTGTCCCTCCAGGCACCTCTGCCACCTCTCCAGGGAGCAGCCAGGGAGCTGTGCCTGACAGGGAAAAGGCCAGAGGGACCAGGCCACTACTCATGGCCCTACCCTGTCCCTGAACCCTGGTGAATACAAGGGGTGATGAATAGGTATGGAGGAGGGTTGACTTTTAAAATTTTACTACAGTGAAAGACACATTACCTAGAACAGCAGGATAAGTTCAAAATGAGGGGGAGTATTTTGAGCAGAATTACTGGCAATGTGTCTTACTATAATTCTTTGAAAAATTTTACTTTATTTTTTTGGTACTGAGGATTGAACTCACAACCTCACCCTTGCCAGGCAGGCACTCATGCCACTGAGCTAAATTCCCAGCCCCTTTGAAAAATTTTAAACATTTAAAAAAATTGTTTTTTGGTACTGGGGATCAAACTCACAACTTTGCATTTGCCAAGCAGGCACTTACACTGCTGAGCTAAACCCCCAGCCCTATTTTCTTTTTTTTTGTCAACATTTTTTTTTGGAGCAGGGTCTTGCCACATAGTTCAGGCTGGCCAGGAACTCACTTTGTAGCCCAGGCTGGCCTCAAACTCAGTGATCCTCCTGCCTCAGCCTCCTGAGTGCTGGGATTACAGACATGAACCACCATGCCTAGTATATTCACCATGTTTTTGATCACCCATGCTGATCAAATGTTTACAGCCATTTCTGTCAGATAAAAATGTCACCGTGTGCTTGCTCCTCTGCTTTGTTTGCTGACTGTGTACCATGTGGCTCTGGCTTTTCTCATAATCAAAATGGCCATGAAAGGCAAACATTTTTTTTTTTTTTTTTTTTGTCTTTTTCCTTTTTATCGGTACCAGGGATCAAACTCACGACTGCCTACTTGTAAGGCAGGTGCTTACGCCGCGATCCAGGACATCAGGGCAGCTGCCACAGCACGAAAAGACACTCAGGAAAGAGGGCTCCGGAAAGGCTTTCGAAGGCAGCAAGGGTGCAGAATGAGCAGTGCAAAGTGAGTGGGAAGATTTTACGAGAGATCAGGGCAGCGTGTGATAAATTTGAATAGATTAAGCCTTCATTGTCTTTTTGATCAAATCTCATATTGCAGCTCTTCCTTGAGACTCCTCCAATGCAGTCAGTTGTGATAGCTTTTTTTTTTTAATCTAAGAGCACAGTTTTATTTTAAAAACTTGTGAGGCCTGGGGTATAACTCAGTGTAGGGCACCTGTCTAGCATATGCAAAGCCCAGGGTTCAGCTCCCAGCACTGCAAAAATAAAAAATTACATATCATTTTTTAATATTAATATATACAACAGAGGTAAATACTGAAGCAACACAAAAAAGTTTATAACGAAAAATAAATCAATTTTCCACTTTCTTCCTCTTTTGATTTGCATCTCCAGAGGAAACTGCAGTTATCAGTGTTTTAAAAATATTTTTTCACAAATATTTTACTTATTTATTTATTTACTTGCTCAGGGGGTAGTGGGAATGAAAGTCAGGACCTCATACTTGCCAGGCAGATAGAAATATTTTATAAGCCTATTGTTGTAGTCAGGGTTTACAGGGAAAAGACTTACAAGACACAAAATTTATACGATTATTTTATAATATTTACACAAAAAGTCAAATGCTAAGCACCTGCCTGGCAAGCCTGAGGTCATGAGTTCAAGTCCTGATACCAAAAAAAAAAAAAAAGTCTGACGCAAAAGAGTGCAGGGCATCTGTCCATACACTAGGGACCCAGAGAATCCAGCTGAGGGCCTGGGGCCCACCGCAATGTCCTGCGTGAGTCCAGCTGAAATAGGTCAGCATTGTTAACCAAGCAGCCGTTTCTTCAAGCCTGGTCGTGATAGGTCCTGGACAATTGGCAATCCCCTGGGGACATATTTTCCCTGGTGAACAAGTGCTTGAGACACAGACCTATCATACAGCCTCTCCTGGTGACTCTGATCCGTGCCTTACTCTGAAAATCCTTAACAAGCCCACAGAATGTGCACAGCCACAGATGCAGCCTCTGTGGCTCAGTCTACAGTGGGCCCCCAAATACTCCGGGGGCCACGAGAGCACGCAGCCCTGTGCCACAGCATAGCTCCCTGTAAAGGCTCACTCTGTGGTCCTATTGCCTACCCTTGATTCTTATCTCATGTAGAGTGAGCTGAGTGGACAGCAAAAAGACCCGGTGACACCTGGGGCAACCAGCAGAAATCGGTGATGACCAGTGGCATGACCAAGGGAGACCTGTGGTGACCCGCAGAGAGCCCAGTGGGGCAGCAGAAGTTTTTATAAGTGTCATGGGATGAGGGAGTGACGGGCCTCGTGAGGGTAAAACATCCCTCCCCTCTCTCTGGCCCTGTGGCCAGCACTCTGCATTCAAAGCGCCCGGCTGGATGGCAGTTCCTCTGCTGCTGTGGTGCCTGCTGGGATGGTGGCATTCATGGTACAGTTGCTCACGTGGGGCTGGAGGACCACACCCTGCCACATTCCCTTGAATCCTCTGTGGGAGATGATGATCTCTTTCCTTGAATATGCATGGAGGGCATGAGAATGTCTAAAGGAAAATAGGTCACTTGTGACTCAGGAGGGAGCTGAAGGCTGGCGGAGTCTGTTGGGGCAGGGAATGCAGAAGGGAGTGTCGAGTTGATGACATAGAAGGTGACTTCCCACAATGCAGAGGACCACTGGGTGCTGATGTGTAGCCTTTAAAGCAAGGGGCAAGGTACCAGTGATGCCCCACCTGCAGCTCCCAACGAGTATGCGTGGGCTGGGTGACTGATATTGAGCTGTCAGCCGAGACTGAAGCTTGAGAGAGAATCCATGTTGTCTCGGGGCATGAAGCATGGACATCAGAGCTGAAGCACCGACCCCAAACATTAGACACTGCCTTGAATAGTGTCATGTGGATGACTCCTGTGTATTTCTCGCTCTGCAGATTTCACAGGTGCTAGCAGACCTCCCAGCACTCACCACTTCCCTCTTTGTCTGTCACTTGTCCCCCCAGCCACGAACCTATGTACAAATGAATAAAACCTGGTTCAGCTCAGGTCTAGGCCACCCATTGTTCTGAGTGGCTTAGGACCTCCTTGGCTCCCCACAACTACAGATATGTATTTATTTATCTATTTATTCTCACCATGGGTCACACTGGAAGTGGTACATTGGGATTACTTAGTGGAATTCCTGTACCTTTTTCCCAGGATTACAGATGTGGACTCCCCTGGACCTTGTCAGTCAGCAGGGCTTCCTACACCACAGCAGGCTCAGGAGTCAGGAGCCAGAGGTCTGGTGACACGGTATAAGAGAGCTGGGACACAGTGCAATGGGAAGGGAACAGTTGCCTCTCAGGCCTGCGGCAGCTTCTCCTCTCAGAGAGTTCAGCCGTGACTGCAGCAACCCTGGGGCTCAGAGCATCCTCCTGAATTGGCTGGGCCCGGATGGCTGGAGCCTGTGAGTGTCACTTCTCTGGGGACCTTTGCTGCCGCCATGAACTAAGCAGCTCTGTGGGGCATAAGGGACACAGCCAGAAAGACAAGGCCTCTGCTCCCAAAGCTGACAGATGGAGCTGGAGAGCCAGAGAGAAAACATGGAATTAAAAGATGTGGGACAGAGCTGGGGTGTAGATGGCAGGTAGGGTGCCTGCCTAGCATGCATGAGATCCTGGCTCCCCTCCCCAGCACCATCAAAGAGAATGAAAAATAAAATACATGGGATGAGAGACATGATCTCCTGATCAGAAGCCCTTTATCTTTTCAGCAAGGGATTGAACCCTAAAACCCCATGCATGCTATGCATGAGTTCTCCTTGGACTCCCAGCCTCTTTTTTTTTTTTTTTTTTTTTTGTCTTTTTTTGAGACAAGGTTTCACTATGCAGTTCAGACTGGCCTTAAACTCACTTAAAGCCCAGGCTGGCTTCAAACTTGCATCGATCCTTCTGCCTCAGCCTCTCTAGTGCAGGGATTACAGGTGTACAAGTACCACCGTGCCTGGCTAGGAAGTCCTTTTTGAGGAAAATGATGGTTAAGAGGAAAAGTGGAAGGATGGGCTGAAGGTAGACGAAAGTACTGTACTGAGCAGAGGGAAGAACGTGTCCAGTGAGCGAGAACGGTGTGAGAGGTCCTGAAAGATGACCAGCATGCTCAGAGCCCAGGATTCCAAAGGACTGAGGATGCCGCTCCACTGCTATCCAGGACACACACGGACCGGGGTTCAACTGGCTCAGGGGGGGGGGGCAGAAAGAAACAGAGAGAGAGAGAGAGAGAGAGAGAGAGAGAGAGAGAGAGAGAGAGAGAGAAAGGAAGGAAGGAAGGAAGGAAAGAAGGAAGGAAAAGTATAACAAAAGATGACTCTAGGGGTCTTACCAAGGGTCAGAGGTCCGGCCGTGGAATCTGAACTTTTTCCCAAGTGCAAAGGTACCGGAATCTGTGCAGAGGAAAAATTACGAGTGGGGACTCGGGGTCTTGATGTAGGAACCAGCTTGCACCTGAGCCACACAGATCCTTGCCCCGACTTCCACCCTTGGAAATAACAGCTCTTCTTTTCATGTTGCTGCATTTCCAGAAGAAAGGAGATGTCCAGCTGCTCTGCCAGGGTCTCGTGAGCCGCAGGACACAGAGAAACTGGCCGCAGGAAAGTGCTGGGAGGACACAGAGAGGGCGAGGCTGGAGCTTCTTTCGTTTGATCAGGAAGAGGCATCAGGTTCTCCCCTCACCGCCCGCCACCCGCTGTGGTGATGGCCTTTAAGGTGTGGTCGGGCAGCCCTGTGGCTTTGTGCAGCTGCTCCGGAGACCAGCAGGCCTCGTTTGCAGGCTTGCAGCGCTGCTCAGAGCTCTTGAGACAATTTGGGCTTTTTTTTTTTTTTAAATGAAAGTTGACTTCCGCCTGCCACAAAGCCTGCACTGGCTCTTCTGAGCTATTCCTCATGTTTCAGGATTGAAATCTGAAACAGATCTTGTTTTTTTCTTTGTTTCTTTCTTGTGTGTGTGTGCTTGAAGCAAGGTCTCACTATTCATTTCAGGCTGGCCTTGGGCTCACTTTGTAGTCTAGGCTGGTCTTGAACTTGTAACAATCCTCCTGCCTCAGCCTCCCGAGTGTTGGGATTACAGATGTGTACCATCACACCTGGCCTTAGATTTTGCATCTATGCCAGGAAGAGAGTAGCTGCAGGTGTTCCTTGGAGACCCAAGCCCAGTGGTGCCCCAGTGACCTCAGAAAAACATAGCAGATAGTGTTCTTGGTCATGTACTGTCCCATTCGGAAGATGTGAAGCAGTAGTTTCTTTTTTTTTTGGCAATTTAAATCATTCTTGCAGGGCCTTCTGTCATGCTCAGCTGTTCCCTGGTTTTGTTTCTTTTTGCTTTTTGAGACAGGGCCTCACTATATAGGGGAAGGGGTTGTAAAACAAAGATCCATGGTGGCCTACACCTATAATCTCAGCACTTGGGAGGCTGTGGCAGGAGGATGATTGTGAGTTTGAGGCCAGCCTGAATTATACAGTGAGACCTTGTCTCAAAATAAACAAACACAGGTCCTTCTGCCTCAGTCCTGCGTGCTGGCCTGACAGGTGTATGTAACTGCTTTATTACCCCATGTTGGCAGCATACAGTGATCACAGGTATTGGGGGGAGTCTGTAGATGTACACAGCACGTCTTAATTCTTTGTATGTCTTCTTCTGCCTCCCATCGAATTCCCTCTTTAAAGAGCTGCTCTCCAAAGAAGTCACTTACGTTTTTTTTCTTTTCTTTTTTGAAACTGTCTCTAAGAACCACCACACCCAGGGGACACAGGAGTTACTGCTGCAGTCCTCCTTGGTTCCTTTACCATGTGACTGAGTAGAGTAGCAGACCCATGGCCAGCAGCCAGCGAGGCCGAGCCCTCCTTCAGCTGTATTCGGCGAGGACTCCGTTTCAAGGACAGCAACCGCGTCACTCACCGGCCAATACAAAAGGTAGCGCACTGCGGAAGTGAGAAAATGGCATCTATCATGCTTTAAAAAAGCATCTCCCCATATAAAGAACTCACAAAAATCAGTCCTCCCAGATTTAAACGCCCAGTCCAAAAATGGCCACCTGAGATGAACACACACTTCTCAGATGGGGAAATGCAAATGGCAAATACATATGTGAAAAAATGCTTGACATCACTGATCCCTTGAGAGATGCAAATTAAAACACAGAGATTCCACCTCACCCCAGGCAGAACGGCTGTTAGCAAGAAATCAACCAATAACAAATGCTAGAGGGGATGTGGGGAAAAAGGAACCCTTCTCCACTGTTGCTGAGAATGCAGATTGTGCAACCACTGTGGAAATCAGTGTGGAGATTCCTCAAAAAACTAGGATTAGAGGTCCCATTCAATCCAGCTATTCCCCTTCTGGGTATCCTCCCAAAAGAATTAAAAACATCATACCACAGTGATATATGTGCATCCATGTTTATAGCAGCACAGTTTGTAATAGCCAGATCTTGGAAACAACCTTAAATGCCCATCAACTAAGGAATGGATAAAAAAGATGTATTTTCACACAACGTAGTAATACTCAGCCATAAAGAAGGATAAACTGGAGACTTTTATAGGTAAATGGATGCAACCTGAGATCATACACATGAGTGAAATAAATCAGACACACATGTGTAAACATCATATTGTCTTACTAGCATGAGAAGCTAAAAGAACGCATACATGTGTATATAAAAAACTAGCTAAGACAGCTACACTACTGATTTCTCTGAGTTTACTGAAGACAAAGATCTGTGCTGGTGTTGTTTGGACAATGGAACACAGATGTCTTGTGCTCTGGAAGAAAGATTTGGGGATGACAATGTACAATGTAGGTACCACTGTTGTTGCCTCATTGATGTGTTTTGAAATTTTGTTGTAGTTTCTTGTCTTCTTCTTTTCTCCTTTATTTCTTCATTTCTCCTTGAAATAAAATGGATATAAATATTTTTTCCCAGAATAGCTGGGCATGATGGTGCATACCTGTAATTCCAGTGCTTGACAGGCTGAGGCAGGAGGATCGCAGTTAAAGATCAGTCACGTTATTGTCCATATCCAGCCCGATGGTGGGCAAAATTTTGAGCACCAGATCCCCCCCCAGGTTTGTGTGGATCCCTCCGTCAGAACAGACCAATGGGTGGGGCTGACTCTGTTCCCACTCAGCTGATCTTTCCCCTCAACTCAAAAGAAAGTCCTATGGGGCTGGCTGGAATCCTGTGGTCACAGCAGGTCCCTGGCCTGCCATGTGTGGGCTGAATGTTAAAGGTCACCCAGTAAGTTAGTGGCTGTGCTCTGCTCTCCACATCCCAAATCTTCCAAGCATCCAGGCATGGTGGCACACTCCTGTGATCCCCTACTTTGACAGGCTGAGGCAGGAGGCTCACCATGAGTGCAAAGCCAACCTGGAATACACAGCAAGACTGTCTCAAAAAACTAAAAAATAAAAAGCAGGGCTGTTAGCCATTTGAATAATTTCCCACAGTTCTGGAGGAATCCCCTTCACAGGGAGCTGCTTCTGGTCGGTGTGGACTGGCTTTAGGGCAGCTCTGGCAGGAGGCTGGGGTAGTGCCTGTCATGGTCTCCAAGGCCACTTGAGGACCTTGAGTGATGAGGGCCAGGAAGGATAGCATTGGTCTGCTGAACTGCCCAGAAAGGCTCCTCCCTTGGCCTTCCATTTCCATTCTAGGGCCAGGTTTTCAGGCCTGCCACGCTCCCATCCCTCTCTCTGCAGCTCACTGGGAGAGTGGTATGATCTCCCCCAGGCTGTCCCTAGGCATCTGGCTGCCATCTCCACAGCCCTGGTCAGTCACATATTGGTCAATACGAATTGGGTCTTAGTAATCTTACTGTGTTATCTTACCATTTTATTTTTTTTCCCTTTTTAGTGTTTTGAGACGGGGTCCTGCTATGCAGTTTAGACCGGCCTTTAGCTCACTTTGCAGCCCAGGCTGGTCTTGTCCTCACAATGACTCTCCTGTCTCAGGCTCCCAAGTGCTAGGATTACAGGTGTGCACCACTATGCCCTGCTAAAAAACTGATTTTGAAGAGCTCCATCCCTCCTGGTCCCTTTTCTGGCACCCCTCTCCTTGGTGGCTTTTTATCACTGGTCTCCCTCTGTGGCAGCTTCTTCTGTGCAGTGTACCCCAGAGTCCTGTCTTCGCCACAGTCTGGGTGAGTCACTTTCATGTTTCTGTAATTTATTCCTAGAGGCACCAACATGTAACCCTGACTCCCTCCCAGTGACAGGGAAAGGAAGAGCGACTTCTCCCCGCTCACAGCAAGTTCTCTGTCTCTGCTGTTTTGCGAAGCCCATTCGGGGAAGGCAGGCCCAGTGGGTTGTGCCCGGACAGTACAGCAGCCTCCGCTGCTAGAATGGGCTGCTGGAAAGGGCTGCGTAGCTCCAGCGCATTCATGAAGATGCTCATTTAAAACTCACTGTGCCCTTTCTCTGGGAACAGGAGGTTACTTCTGGTCCTCCGCTTCTCAGGCAGCCCTGGACTTCACCTATCCCAGAAGGCTGTTGCCGTGGGCACAGTAGAGCTGCCACCTGGGGATCCCTGTGACTGTACTCCCCCATCTAGGACTCAAGGTGCACTGTGTTCCCATGCTGGGAGCCAGGGACACAGCTGTCCCCTGCCCCACACATGGCTGTGGCCAGAGGGGGCTAGGGTGAAGAGCAGGTCACCCTGAGACTGCTTCTGTGCCACAGAACACCTTCCAGCCCCTTTACTGGGCCGCACTTTGAGAAAGGAACCCTAAGAAAGGAACGTTTGCAGAGTGAGTGCTTTACAGTTCCCAGAGGAGAGACTTTCATCTCTGATATCTCCCTGGTCTCACTTGGTATGGGCCACAACCCTCTTGAGCTATCATTATGATTTTCACTTAATAGGCAAGAAAACCGAGCCTCTGGACTGAACACTTGAGGAGGAGGATGTAGCTCAGCGGTAGAGCCTCTGCCCAATGTGTGTGAGGGCCTGGGCTCAATCCCTAGCACTGAATAAAGTTTCCAAAGTAGGCTGGGGAAGATCTGTGAGGAGACTCGACTGCCCCAAGTGTAGGTGTCTTCACAGACTTCCCCACCCTGATTTGTCTGTATTTTATTATTTTTTTAGCGTTATATTTATTTATTTAGGTTTTTTGCAACAGAGTCTCATTATGTAGCACAGGCTGAGATCCTCCTGCCTCAGCCCCCCAAGTGCTGGAATTATAGGCATGCATCACCACCACCAGTTTCTATTTGTTTAGCACTTACCTAACACTTATTGAGTGCCAGGCACTGGTCTAAACCACCCAGTATGACTCACTCGTTTATTGTTAAATCTGTGTCTCAGTCTCTGTGGAATCTGGAAATGGACATCGATTTTAATAATATTCACTCTGGTATGCGGCTCAGCCAGAGGTGCCTGGGCTGCTTAGTCAGTGAGCTTTAACTCCTGAGTTCCTGGTAGCATCTGACTCATCTCTGCCTGGGGGTCTTTCCCTGGTAGTTTAAAGGTGACACCAGCCTCTATTTTTGAAAATTCAGCAGGTTTGCCACCATAGATTTTTTCCTATCCTTTTTTATCTTTTTTGACAGGGTCTCCTTGTGTAGTTGAGGCTGTCTTTGAACTCACTTTGTAGCCCAGGCTGATACTGAACTCCTAACAATTCTCCTGCCTCGGCCTCCCGAGTGCTGGGATTACAGGTGTGGGCCACCACGATGGGCAGCCTTTCTGATTCTGAGATACAAATACCAGCTGTCTCTCCCCAGACCTGGAGTCCAAGCCTGTGGAATTGGCCTCTTAATGAATCCACTACTCCGACTCCAGGCCTAGAGGCAAAGTTACCTAGGGGGGCTGTTGAAATGACTCCCTGGTGTTGGGGTCTGGCTCTCCTTTTTCTTTTATGGTCCTGGGCAAGTTCCTCGTGCCACCCGTGCCTCAGTTTCCCCAGGCACCATAGCTTATTGATATCTGCCTCCCCAGTATCTGGCCCAAAGCAGATTGTACTATTGAAGTGTACCTGAAGGAAAACCTAAATAAACTCTCCCTTCATCGCCCTTAGTTGACTTTAAAAATCACTGAATTCGAAGGTCACACAGCCGAGCAAATAATTCATTAGTGGCTTCGCCAGCTGAAGCCACTTAATGGGTTAAAACTTCTCTGGCAAAACAGAGTTCTGTCTCTTCCTGTGTTCTAAACTGCAAGGTTAGCTGTTCCTTGGGAAAAGAAACTAAAAGACGATAGTCCTAAAAATGATAAGTCAGTAACTTATCCCTGGATTTACAGAGCCGGGGGTGGGGAGTGAGCTTCTGATACCAGGGGTTTGGGAGGAGAGAAGCGGCACCGAGGAGCAGCCCTGCCCACCCAGGCCTGATCCCGCGTGGGAGAGGTCTGCCCAGAGTGGGGGCTGCCTCGTAGCTGCTTCGTGTGACTCCGCCGAGGGCGCGGTCCGCTTACCCACTTAGCTGCGGCCCGCGTGGAGGCGGCCTGCGGCCCTGGCTCCGGAGAGGGTTTGCAGGATCAGGGATCTGCAGGTGAGAGAAGCACACTGTACCGGATGGAGCGATTCCCTGGGAAACAGGCCGAGGGGGTGGAGGGAAAGAGAGAAAGAAAGGATCCCGTGGCCTTGGACTCCCACACGGAGAACAGAGAGCATCGGCAGGACGCGGCGGGAAGGCCGCGCGCATGCGCCACACACACTCCAGCAGGAGGAGGCTGCGGCGGTGATGACGCTCAACTCTGCGGGCACCGGGGCACCTGCTCCAGGGTTTGTCTCTCCATCCTACGATACGGACTCAGCAGACGTCCTCACGGCCCTGCAGATGCTAAACTGACCATGAGCAAGGTGCTCTTTGGCTAACCCGTTGCCCACCCCAGAGCTAAAAGCCCCGAAAATCAGGTCAGGGACAGGCAGCCAGCCAGAAGCTTCTGGGAGAAGAGAGGACGCCCATCAGGCAGGGCGAGGTCCGGGTGGGAGAAGGGCCCTGACCCCCAGGGAGGCAGCCGGGGACACAGGGCCTCGGGGGCCCCCATCTTTCCGGAGCCCCACCCTGATTCTTTCTCATCAGTGAAGCTATCTATTTATTCCTCTCTCCCTTTTTCTTCTGCTCTGTACAAATGAAGTGTCCTCCTCTCGTTGAGCTGTGTCCCTCTAATTTCTTGTTGGGGCTGAGTTTGTGATGGGGGTGCTGCTTGGACAGCAGAGCAGCGGAGCTCGTCTCCCAGATGAGACAGGTTGGTCTCTGGGTTAAACACAGTTTCATTCGTACCCCTGAGAGGTGCGTCATACCGTCTCCGGCCTTTTTTTTTTTTTTTTGGTCTTTTTGAAACAGGGTCTTGCTATGCAGTTCAGGCAGGCCTTGAGCTCACTTTGTAGCCTAGGCTGGTCTCGAACTCGCAACAATCCTCCTGCCTCAGCCTCCCAAGTGCTGGAATTACAGGCGTGAGCCACCACATCCGGCTTACGCCTCTCCTTCTTTATGGCTGAGTAGTACTCCAGTGTATTAAAAAACCCCACATTTTTGTAATCCACTCATTGATTGATGGGCATTTGAGCTGTTTCCAAGAGTTAGCTATTACAGCTGTGCTGCTATAAATGTAGGTGCACATCTATCACTGTGGGACACTGTTTTTAATTCTTTTGGGAAGATACCCAGAATGGTAGTAGCTGGGTCAAATGAGAACTGTAGTCCTGAGCTGCTGTGAGCGTGCGGCCCAGGACGGGAATCACTGGCTTTACTGGGACCTGGGGTTCTGGGAAACCAAGCAACCCCTCCCCCCCTGCCTGTTTTGTTTTGTTGAATTTCAATATACATGAAAGTATGGACAGCTATTTTGAAGAGAACAAGAGACTCTTATTACACCCATTAGTGACTTCCCTGATGTCTGGTTTTGAAGACCTAAAACACCTTCCTCATTCAGTTTTATACCAGGTTGTTTTGTGTGAAATCTCTGTATGCAAAGACATGGACAACTATTTGGAAGAAAACAAGAGACAATATGATAGCCGGGTGTGGTGGCTCACACCTGTAATCCCAGCACTTGGGAGACTGAGGCAGGAGGATTGTTGCGAGTTCGAGACCAGCTTAGGCTACAAAGTGAGCTCAAGGTCAGCCTGAACTGCACAGTGAGACTCTGTCTCAAAAAGACAAAAAAAAAAAAAAAAAAAAAAAAAGAGACAATATGATAGTGCAGATCTCAGGTCGTCTAGCTTTGAAACTTATATCTCTTACATTGCTTTCTTATGTCCTATTTTGTTCTGTTTTTGTGTTTAATTTTACCCCCTTTAAAAAAAAAGAGAGAGAACTGGAGTCGTAATTTTTTGAGGCATCTCCAAACACTGATTTCCACAGTGGTTGCACCAGTCTACTCTCCCACCAAGAACAGAGAAGCATTTTCCCCCACAGCCCCTTTAGCACTTGTTATTGGTTGATTCTTGATGACAGCCATTCTTTCTGGGGTGAGGTGGAATCACAGCATTGTCTGAATTTGCATCTCTCAAGTGATGAATAATGTTGAATATTTTCTCATAGACTGATTTGCCATTTCTACTTCATCTGAGAAGTGTGTGTTCATCTTAGATGTCCATTTCTGGATTGGGTCTTTAAATTTGGGAGGGGGTCTTTTTTCTTCCTAAATATTAGTTCTTTTGAGATGGAGTCTCACTATGTAGTCCCAGATGGCCTTGGACTCACAGTGCCTCCTGCCTTAGCCACCCAAGTGCTGGGATTATAGGTGTGTGTGTGTGTGTGTGTGTGTGTGTGTGTGTGTGTCCGCCAGCCACCAACTCCTGCCTTTACTCTAGGGTGGTGCTTATCCTGGAGTAGGGGTGATTGGCTGCATGCCTTTTGATGTTGATGCTGATGCTGGGGAAAGCAGGAGGCTAAATTGGGCCTGGTGGTGAGTACCTGCACCCTCAGCACTTGAGAGGCTGAGGCAGGAGGGTCACTGTGAGGTCAAGGTCAGTTTGCGCTATACAGTGAGGCCTTGCCTCAAAAAAGGAGAAAAAAAAAAGTGGGCTGGGGATGTAGCTCAATGGCATAAGTGCCTGCCTGGCAAGTACAAGGTTGTGAGTTCAATTCCTGGTACAAAAAAAAGGCTCGGAAGTCAGGTGATAGAGGACACTACTAAGCCCAAACCTCACCGACTACAGCTCAGGCCCTGTTCCTGTGGAGGAGGAACCATAGTAAATCGGAAGTGGGAGGATGAGACCCTAACTTGTGTTTCCCCTCTGCCCTCACACACGTGCACGGTCTTGAACCAGATGCTTCTGCTTTTGCAGGCCTCTGGAAGGCTTGGGTTCCTTAGTAGTGAACTGGAAGAATTACAGCCCAAGGGCGCTTATTCCTAGAGTGGTGCCTAGCTCACAGGCGCATGGCCCTGGCCTCAATCCCCTAGGACACCCATCTGGGTTAGGTGATCTCTGATGGTCCTGCTGGTCCCTGTTCTCTGTCTGGCTAGGTCAGATGGGCATCTCTGAAGCCTTTGCAAAGGCTCCCCTGGTGGGGCCCCAAGCGTCCCCTGCACCTGGACAGCTGGGTGGGAGCTCGGATGCCCAGGTTACAGGGGAATGGTCAGCCACCCCGAGCTGCTGCCGCCCACCCCAGAGAAATCATGGCTCACTTGTCTTCTTGCAGGGGATGTGAAGATGACACTGATTTGATGGGACAGTGAGGCCCCTGGGGGAAGGAGTCAATGGGAATGGAAATTGAGTGATTATGAGCCAGCGCTGGGAAAGCCAGGCCCAGATGGAAAACCAGACAGCCAGTCTTCGGAGTGGCCCTGGTCTCCAGGGAAGACATGCATAGGCCCACTCCCCAGGAGATGCCACCTTCATGGAGTGGCACGTGTGGGATCGGAGGCTAGGACTCCCCCTGCGTGTGGAGGCCCTAAGAGGTGTGATACCAGCAGGGAGTCTGTTCCCCAAGGCGACTGTGGAGGCCTGCATTATACCTAAGCAGGGCAGTGGTCACCACAGTCACCATCTCCGCAAGGTCACTTGGGAGGATGCGGAGCCACCTCACCCCCCCCCCCCCCCGCCAGGAACTATGTCCCAGGTCTTGCACTAGGCTGCAGGGAACCTGTAGGCCCACATGGATGTGTGCTGTGCGGTGTGGCTGGGGCCATGTTGAGAGGTGTGTAAGGTAGCTGGACTTACATACCTTTCCCCTGAGGCTGAGGTAGGAGGATCGCTGTCAGTTATAGGCCAGCCTGGGCTATGTAGTGAGAGCCTACCCTGCCTTAAAAAACCAAAAATGTGTCCATGACATCCCTTCAGTGAAGAGACCCCCACACCCTGTGGGCTAACGGAGGTCACCTTCAAGTAGACCCGCTAGAGCCCAGTGATGACCCGGCCGGAGGTTGGCCTGCTCCGCCATTCATGTTTGACTGCATTCATGTCTTTCTCGCGCATCCTGTGAAGATCTCTAGCCCTGAGTTCCTGTGGGCGAACAGATGGAGCTGGGTAGGGACAGACAGCTGTAGGCCTTTCTCTGGCACCTTTATCTCTGTCCCACCCTGTGCCCAAGGGGCCCGGCCTTGGAATCATCCTCCCCTGTGGCATGGAGCTCCGGTAAGGTGGGGCCCCCTTGCCCGGCTTGGGACTCCCTGCCCCTCTGTGCTGCCCTTTGTGCGCCCTCCATGCCTTCTCTGTCCCTGTCTAGCCTCTGGCTGAGGTAGAAGACATCCTCTTATTTCTTTGAAGGGAGCCAAATGTTTTAATCAGTTTCAGGCTAATTCAGGAGACATTTTGTCAAGAGACATTCTGACATTTTCATGAAAATGTTTATCCCCTCATTGCTTGTAGTTTTTCCTTTATTTCTTTTGTTTTTCTTGAGACAGGTTCTTGTTAAGCAGTTCAGGCTGGACTTGAACTCACTACATTGCTGCAAACTCACAGAGATCCTCCTGTCTCAGCCTCTAGAGTGCTGGGATTCCAGGTATGCACCACCATCCTGGATACTTGTAGCTTTTCTTAAGGGGCATCCGTTCATAAACTTAAATTAGTGTGTACCCTCTTCAACCCCACAATTCCTACTTTTAACAGTCCACTTGGTTATTACCTGAGCCCACCACCTGCCGTCATAGGATGCTGAAAGACGTCAAGCCACCTGAGACTTGGGCACTGATGCTTAGGTGGGAAGTGCGTGGTGGCCTCCTTGGGCGGAGTCTGACCCTTGTGCTCTGGAGAAAGGTGTGGTCACTGCCCAGCAGCCATTCCTGGCTATAGAGCTGAGAAATATCCCTTCTGGCTCCTTTTCCCATTCCTTGCTGTGATGGCTATGTCCAGATGATCCCCAAAGCCTCATGCAGTCATGGGCAGGGTTTTTTGGAGGTGGCTGGATCTAGGGTGTTCGATGTTGGGATTAAGGGTGCAGGAATGCTAAATGAGTCCGCTAAGCGGTTTGGCACAGTTCTGGGTGTGGATAATGGGAAGGCCCACCTGGCTGTGGGTGTCATTGCTGGGTCACACATGCACAGTGCTGGCTCGTCCAAGAACCCCAGCTTGTCTGGTTGGAAATGTGGCTCCTGGGAGGCTCTTTTCGTGTGGGTGTGTAAGGCACCTGGGCCTGCTTACTCTTACTGGGCCTCCCCAAATGCAGCCAGCTGTGGAGGTCCAAAGTCGAAGCAGCACTGTTTTCGGGAAAGGCCTCCCTTGCTCTGAGTAAGTGGTAGCTTTCATCGTGGTGGCAGTGTGAATGGACAGCTCTGCCATAAGAGTAAGATGCTTTTAGGGGCTGGGGATTTAGCTCAGCGGCATAAGCGCCTGCCTTGCAAGCAGGCAGTCGTGAGTTCGATCCCTGGTACCGATTAAAAAAAAAAAAAAAGAGTAAAGTGCTTTCTAGCACCCAGGAGGCTGAGGCAGGAGGATTGTTGCAAGTTTGAGACCATGCTGGGCTATAAACTGAGCTCAGAACCAGCCTTAACTGCATAGTGAGATCCTGTCTTGAAAAGACCCTCCCCCAGAAGAGTAATAAGCTTGGTGTGTCTGGAATAAAAAGTTGGATTTAAAATGAGTGTGACGGGGCACACATGTAATCCCAGCATTTGGAAGGCTGAGGCAGGAGGATCCCGAGTTCAAGGTCAGCCTGGACTACACAGTGAGCTCAAGACCAGCCTGAGCTTGTCTCAGAGAGAGAGAGAGAGAGAGAGAGAGAGAGAGAGAGAGAGAGAGAGAGATTTAACCTGTGCCTTTAATGTGGTTTATTTTAGGAATTCAGTTTCTTCCTGGCATCTTCCTACCTAGAAATAATATGGGTAATGGAGCATAGAATAAAAGAAATTCATGAAAAATGATTTAATTTGTTGATTCAAGCATCAACCTGCATATAAAGACCTGCCATAAAGAATACTGGAGAGCAAATTTTATGTAGCACAAAGAAATGAAGTATTTAAAAAAAAAAAACCCAAATGACATGAGTGAATCTCTCAAATAAATTTTATTATGGAACATTTTAATTCCATTCCATATCTACCAGGACCGAAGTCGGGGCCCTACCGTCCCTAGTGACTTATCAGAGAACAACTCCGGGAAATCGAGATGCCCCCGCGGTCAGCTTGAGCGGTCCCCCAGGGGTGTGGGATTTGCAGCTGGCAGCCAGACTTGGGTTCTTTCTACAGGGGGAAAAAAAACCCAGCGGAACGAACAACAGGTCACGAACTCTGAAGAGCAGAAGCAGCAAGTGACCACAAGAGGGCGCTCTCCACTGAAGAAAGGGAGGTGGGTTAAGGTGTGGCCTTCCTAATTCCTTTCCTCTTTTAAAACATTAATGAGAGAGAGAGAAAAAAAAAAAAAAACATTAATGAGAGGCTGATGTTGGTAGAGCCCCTCGGCCACCATCAAAGGAGCGGGTAGCTCATTAAACCCAGGCCGTTTCTCTCGCTGGCGGAGATGCTAGGCAGGAGTTAAACCAGTGTTCTCGGGGATCTCGGTGTAAGAAGAGGTCAAAGACCTCAGAACCAGGCCAACGTGAGTTCTAATTCCGACTCTGTCGCCTGTAAGGTGGGTGGCACTTAGGTGACCCAGGTCCCTTGGGTTTACTCTTCTGCACATTGTAAGGATTAAACGAGGTGGAAGCAACTCGCTTGGCCTAGAGTCGGACCCCAGATTCTGTAACTGAGGCCCGTGATCATCAATGCGTGCTCACTGGATTCCACGGTGCTTGGTTCTTGGTGTTTCTGGAGCAGGAATCATCAAGATGGAGCTGGTTTGTTCCTCTTGGTGGCTTTCCAGTAGGAGCCAGACAAGCCGGGCAGGGTGCTGTGCACCTGTAGCCTTAGTACTTGCAAGGCTGAAGCAAGTTTGAGGCCAGCCTGGGTGACTTAGTCTCAGCTCTGTCTCAGAAAGATAAAAAAGGCTGGGGCGGGGCAGCTCAGTGGCACAGTGCTCGTCTAACCCGGGTACATCAGTAAACACGGTGGCGACAGCGCAGAAAGTCCAGGGTGGAGGATGCGGAGGCATTTTAGTGATGGGAAGGAACAGGTAGGGTGGAGTCTCGCTGGGGTTCTGGTTTGTGGCTTGGAGGCGGAGGTCACTTTACACAGGGCTCGCTCACCAGGCGCTTCTCCAGCGTTGCCCATGCGTGGTTAAAATATTCCGAAGGAAATGAGAAAATACTCTTTTTAAACATTCACGGCCTTTCCTCGATTAGCAAAAAGATTTAGAAATTGATTTCTATCATGCACTCAGTACAGTGGGGTCCGTAGAGCACAGGGGTTTCTGTCCATGCTGAGCTTTGACCTCAGCACCTTGGAAACGGCAAAGGACTTTCCGTTTCCATCTCCCCAGGCACCAATCAGATCCGCTGGTACCCGGCCGACCGGCGTCTCAGGCGGGTCACACAAACACACAGACCCAGGAGGCAGAGGGCGACCAGGATGACACCGATCACCGGGAGCACAACTGTGTAGTCGGAGGAGCACTCATCCACTAAGAGAGAAAACAAACCGCAGTTTGGTCGGGGAGACAGCAGGTGAGCTGGCAGCAGTGTGGACAGAGCTGAGCTTTGGGGCTGAACAAGTCTGGTCCTGATTGTTAGTCGCAGCATCAGCTAGCTATGACAAAGCGGGGCGCGGTGGCACACGCCTGTGATCCCAACACTCGGGAGGCCGAGGCAGGAGGACTGCTACAAGTTGGAGGCCAGCCCGGGCTACGTGATGAGTTCAGGGGCAGCCTGAAGTACAGGAGCCCCTACCTCAAAAAAACCACTTCCCCCAAAACAAAAGGAAAGATCAACAACAAAAGAGTGTGGTAGTGTGTGTCTAGCATACATAAGGTCCTGGGTTCAAGTGTCTGCTCCTCTCCGCCCCCAGAAAGATGACGTCAGCACAGTGGAGTAGAGGTTCCCTAAGAGCTGTGACCGTACAAGCCTGACATGTACCCAGAAACTGGAAAAAGTCTTGGAATGGGGCAGAAGGCAACTTTTACTTTCTACCTTTGTTTCATTAAACTATTAAATTTAGCATTGTCAAAATATTTTTAAAATGCAGAGCAGAAGTTGTCTAACCACTACACTCTGGGTAAATCATGGAAAGCCTCTTCAGGCCAGAGTGGGTGTGTGTGTTCTCACCTGCATGTTGAAAGAAAAATCATGCTATGTCAATAAATGACCTGCTGCCTATAACGAGTTACAAGAATTGAGGAAAGAACAGATAAAAAATAAAAACCACTCATCTACCCAGACAGTGCCACTGCTAACACAGACATCTTGCTTTAAAACTATAAGGATAGGTGATGAGTAGAAAAATCAATAGTCTTTTTATGAAGTCAGGATCAGATCATAATGAATGGATAAAGAAGAGTGGGTTTTCATACAGTGGAGTACTACTCTGCCATAAAGAAGGAGACGCTTGAGACATTGCTGCCTGCATGGATGCACCCTGAGACCGTGCTCCTCAGTAAAATAAATCCCGTGTAAACACTGTGTGTCTCTCTGGTGTGAAAAACTGAAAGTGTAAATGAAGACTGAAATGTGTAACAGATATTGTGAAATGTAAAGAAAATGTTCAAATGGGAAGGGGAACGGGATGGAGAGGAAGGAAGGGAACAGAAAAAAAGGGGAAAAGGGGGCTAGAGATTTAGCTCAGCGGCATCAGCGCCTGCCCTGCAAGTAGGCAGTCGTGAGTTCGATCCCTGGTACCAATAAAAAGGAAAAAGACAAAAAAAAAAAAAAAAAAAAGAGAGAAAAGGAAAAATAGGAACTAAAGCTTCTGTACATAAGGGAAGTGGAGTTGATGGGAGGAGATGGGAACAGGAAAAAAAGAATCAGGTTATATCACGCACAGGTGCAAACTCCCTACGAGGAATGTGATCACAGTATGTGTCTAAATTGTACCAATAAACTTAATGAAAAACAACCTGAATGGCAAAAAAGTAGAAGCTGTAACGCTTCACACACACACACACACACACACACACACACACACACACACACACACAAACACGATAGAATCATTAAAAAAATAAGATGAAACAAGTGCTATTTTGGAGGGGGCACTAGGGATTGAACTCATGACCTCATGCTTGCCAAGGAGGCCCTTGTGCTGCTGAGCTAAATCCTTAGCCTTTTGTTTGTTTGTTTGTTTTTGGTATTTTTGAGATAGGGTCTCACTGCGCAGTTCAGGCTGGCCTTGAGTTCACTGTGTAACCCAGGCTGGTCTTGAGATCACCATGATCCTCCTGCCTCAGCCTCCCGAAGTGCTATTTTATTAAAGCTGCTGATTTTGAATTTACTTGAATTTTCTAGAAGGAAAAAACTAAGATGAAACAGGAGGGATTACTGTCTGTCAATATTTGTCACAGGAAGGATTGTGTCATAAAAAGATTATGAAAAACGCAGTAAGTGGCTGTGAATTGCACTGAGAGGGTATGAAGTGGACTAGACCATGTGTTTTCTATCGTTTCCAGTGTAAACATCTGCTGACAGCACTCAGCACTAGAGGTTCGCTCCCACCTCTCTCCAGCTCTAACGTTTAAATCGCTGCCTCACTGATTTTTAGCACTGCCCAGCCTCACAGCATCCCGCCAGTCCTGCAGGTCTCACAAATGCATTTGAAGATCAGATAATTTAAAAAGTTAGAGTCAGGCTGAGGCAGGAGGATCACTGTGTTTGAGGTCAGCCTGCACTTCGTAACAATAGGTGAAATAACACAAGAGATTGTCCATGGAGAAGTCTTGTTTTTCCCTCTGTTCTGTCTTCTGATTTCCCCCTCCCCCACTAGACAAATACTTTTCTTAGTTTTGAAAATATATTTCTCATGTTTCTTTTGATTTTTTTTTAATTGGTACCGGGGATCAAACTCATGACCACACACTTGCAAGTAGGGTGCTTATGCCGCTGAGCTAAATCCCCAGCCCTCATTTTCTTTTATAATATAAGCACAAATGAAGAAATATTTTATCTCCCCCTTTCCTCAGTACTGTGCACTATGCTTATATCTCTTTTTACTATGCTTTTTGATTTTACAATGAATTTTGGGTATCTTTCTTACACATACGTAAATACATATGTGTACTCAACTTTTTGATTTTATTTATTAATTTTTTGTTTACTTTTGGTAGCGCTGGTGACTGAGCCTCCACACTGAGCTACATCCCTTTTTATTTTGAGACTGCTAAATTGCTAAATTTCCGAAGCGAGGCTGGAAGTTTTGATCTTCCTGCTTCAGCCTCGTATGCTTGGGGTTACAGGTGTGTGCACCTCCACACCCAGCTCCCTCATTCTTTCTTAAAGCTATAGAGCATTCTACTGGGGAGTGTATTGGTCTTTTATTCTGTGCCCAGCTAAGGAATCCTTACCCCCCAGCCTTTTGCTTTTGTAAATAATCTCCTAAGAATAACCAGGTCTAAATATAATTTCATATATGACAAGATGTGTTTGCATTCCTGGGCCCACAACTGTTTAGTACATTTTACTGTTTATGTTTGTATGGGTCTGGTGGTGCACACCTGTAATCCTAGCACTTAGGAGGCTGAGGCAGGAGGAGCACTCAGGCCAGTTTGGGCTACACAGTAAGCTTAGGGTGTTTCAAAAAAACAAAAAATAGACATTTTTCTGAATAAAATATCAGCATCAGTCTTTTTATTTTTTAACTGTTACTCTTATATTCCTGAAGGTGAATATTGCTTGTTAATTTTTTGTTTTGTTTGTTTCATTTTGTTCTTTTGAGATGGGGTCTCACTGTGTAACCCTGGCTGGTCTTGAACTACCAGTGATCTTCCTGCCTCAGCCTCCTGAGTGCTGGGGTTACAGGCGTGCCCTACCACCCCAGGCAGCCTATCTTTTTTTGAGCCCGGGAAGTCACCACAGCTTGAAGTAGCCTCTGGTTTGGAGTGAATTCCCCAGTCTACTTCCATCAGCCCTGGGTTCCCTTGTGCTGGTCTCCTGAACTGTTTTCCCTGACCCGGGTTAGGAAAGGAAGGGCAGCTGAGAAAGGAAGGGCTGGAGAGGGGAACCCTGTGTGCCCCAGCTGTGGGAGCGGGAACACTTTCCCCTTGTAGGCTCCTGGGCAGCCCCGTGGAGAGCAGGCAGCACCGTGAGGAGCTGACATCTCTGGTGTTTATTTGCTGCTCATGCAAATGAAGCTTCTCCTTTTGTGGGTTTTACAGTGTTCATTCGTGTTCACTTTACAGATAATTTGTGTTGGGACACGTAACAGGAATCCGGGCTGTCATCATGGAGATGGTACAAAGGAGCACTGAATCTATGTGAACTATCCCTCTACTCCTGATGTGAAAAAAAAAAGTCTTTTTGAGGCAGAGTCACATTAGCCTTGAACTCACAGTGATCCTCCTGCCTCAGCCTCCTGAGTGCTGGGATTACAGGCATGTGCCACCACCCCAGGCCTCTCGGATGTAGAATTTCAATTCTTGTTTCCCTCTGCTGTGGGAGAAAGGTCTGCAGCCCATCTGGGCCCTGGGGTGGGCACAGGAGGAGGAGAGGGAGGAGGAAGGAAGGGCTCCCTCCCAGGCCAAGCTTGCAGTCAGCCCGAGTCACTCTGGGGACCAAGGGCCCTTACCTCGAGGATTCCCATCAACACCCCGGGTTCTGGGGTCGGAGGAGGGAAGAAATGGGCATTTCCTGGCCCTCAGAGCTCTTAGCAGCTCTTCAGCCTCTCTTGAGCCTGCCTGTGCCCTTCATTCCCTCCTAAGACAGCCGACAAAGCTAAAATAATTCAAGGACCCTGCTTCCTAGATAAACAGTGGGTACGCAGGACTCACTTTACAGACATCCTTCCTGCTTAACATAATGAGGGGAAGGAAGCCAGGCGTGGAGGCACAGCCCTGTAATCCCAGCACTTGGGAGGCTGAGGCAGGAGGATCGCTGAGTTCAGGGCCGCCTGGGCTATAATGTGAGTGCAAGTCCAGCCAGAACTATGTTGGGAGACCCTGTCTCAAACAGACCAAAAGAAAAACAGAGTGGCGCTTTGGGAAATGCAGGAAACGAGAACCCTTCTTATCAGTAAAAATCAGCTAAGGACTGTGGAAGGCTGTTATACTCTGTTTCTCCAAGCTCAAACCCAATTTTCACATTTGGGCCATCAGCGTAGTATAAAACTGAATGATATCCGAAGCCAGACTGTGATAGAACAATTCTCTGCTGTCGCCGCAGTCAGGAACTCCTGCCTTCTAACTCAGGGGCAAACGTTTGCAGAGAAGGACAAACAGACAGAGCCTTCCACAACCCTGGGGAGATCAAACTCACAAGGGTGAAGGAGAGAGGGACCGGTCGGGGAAACCCTTTTCAGGAGGCGGACAGGAATGAAGAGAAGGAATGAAGAACTGATGTTTATTAAGCCTCTTCCTTTTGCCGGGACCTTCAGTACTTTACAGGAAAAAGCGCAACACTGAACAGTTTCTGTTTTTGTTTTCCTAATAGCACAGCTTGACACTATAGAGTGTCTTTTAAAGATCACAGGCCACCAAGCGCA